ACTGGGGTTTTACAGGGCTCACAGCAGGAAGGGAGGGGCTTGGGACAGGAAAAGGTGTTTTTAGAGTCCCTTGTCCTGCTGGAGTTGGTGGGGCAGCTGGCTGAACTCCAGGATTAACTCGGGTTAATCAGGAGATCCCGCTGATTGACAGGCGTTTCCCTCGGCTCCTGATTGATGTTTCCTTCCCGCCCGCCCGGGCTGCTTTGTTCTAAGTCACCACCACAGACCTGACAATTTCTATGTGACTTCCTCCATCTCACACACAGAGCTCGGCGGGTTGATCAGAGCCTCAATGCCCTGAACGTGTGAGAAGCTTACCAAAGTAACACAGCAAAGAAAACTTGAACTCCAAGCAGAAAAATGGACCAAGGAAATGAAGCAATTGTTCATAAGTGATACCAAGGAGAAAAAAAGAATAAATGAATAAAACTAGTCTGTGAATAAAATAAGCAGATGCCTCCACAATTATCAAGGATTTAACAAACGGCAATATTAGTATAAGCTGGAGACCGATCTGGACATCTCCCTGGAAAAGAATCTCCTGAGTCACTGTGACATGGATGGAGTCTCTGACTCGGAGATGCTGTCAGCTCTAGCTACCTAGCCCGGGGGGTCTCAATATGAGACAGCAGGAGAGGGAACATGGGATGAGTGGGTCTCCAATCCGGGCCGAACCTTAGTGGGACCTTGTAGTGGTTGCTGCAGGAACCTGGGGTGCTGCTGTTCCATGCCTGTGCCTAGGGCAGGTCATCATCATGGGGACATGGCTTCGCACTGGCTCTGCCCACAGGGGATATAGACTGAATCACCTCCCTCCATGCTTCACACAGTGGTGCCTGTCAGCCTAACACCTGTCACAGTCTAGGTGGGGCCAATCAGGCCACCCACAGCAGCTGGCACAGCCACATTGGTTCCGGTTGCTCCAGGTGTGCCATGCCAGTGATGGCCTGGTCATCATCCCTGACTCCAGGTCAGAGCTGGATTGCAGGGGACCCGAAGACAGGAGGGGAGCAGGTGCAAAGTGGGAGAGGTAGATTCAGCTCAGACTGGTGGTCCTGAGCACTTGAATTTGGACTTTCTCCTGCAGGCTCAGGGAGCCCTGGGGAGTGCGGAGGCAGGAAGAGGCCCAACCGTGGACAAGGTGGCATCCAGGTGGGAGAGACTGAAACCAGGAGGTCAATAAGGAAATCAATGAGAGTTCAAAAGACGGATCAAGCTTTGATCAATTGTGAAAACAGAATCAAAAGGATCAGTGGGACAGGAACAAAGGGTAGGGAGAGGTCAGAATGACTGGTTTCCACCAGCCCAGCTGTGGTGGGTGGGGCCACCATCCATCAGGACTCACAAAGAAACAGGATCAGGGGAGACAGGGAGACCTAACAGGCTGTGACTAAGGAAAGGATACACCTTTCCAAGCACCATGTCACGTGGCCATGGGAAGCCCACAGAGAAAATCTAGTTTCAAATTCTAGACACATTGCAGCCACACGAGCAAACCTAATCCAAAGCACATTAAAAGACACCATGAGCAAAAGATTATTTCAGAGATGAAAATAATTCAATATACTTAATAATATAACTCACTATGTTCTTAAATCTATGGCGATAGATCACAATATCCTCCATAGACAATGAAAAGATGTCTAACAAAATTATAAAAAAAGTTTTTCATGAAATTCCCAATAAAATAGGAATAGGAGGATGCTTCTTCAGCATGATAAATTATATCTCTTTCAAAACTAGTATCAGTTGTTTAAAATTTTTTTAGTTGTAAATGGATATAATACCTGTATTTTATTTATTAATTTTTGTGTGGTGCTGAGGATCAAACCCAGTGCCTCACACATGCTAGGCAAGTGCTCTACCACTGAGCTACAACCACAGCCGCACTAGTATCCATTTTTAGAGTTAGGAACAAAATAAGAATGCCCATTACTACTAAGCACTACACTAGGGTAGTGGACAATGTAATCAGACAGGAAAAAAAAATAAAGGCTTCAAATTTGAAATACTATCACTATTTGTGCAGGATACAATTGTATACCTGCAAACCCAATCTCAAACAAGGAATTCACCAGAAAAGCATGATACAAAGTTAGCAAATAGAAATCATCAGCTTTCGTATTCACAAACAATAATTAGAAGATTTTATGGAAGAAAAGGCTCTATTTGCAATGACAACAAAAAAGTATAAATACCTAGACACAAATTTAATAAGAGACAAACAAGATCAATATGCAGGAAACTTGAAAATGTTCTTAAGAAGTACAAAAGAAGAAATTAGCAAGTGGAATTACATTTCCTCTTCTTAGATAGGACAATTCCACTTCAGAAAGCCATCAAGGCTCCCTAACATAAATTATAAATTTCTGTGATCCCAATAAAAATTCCAATCAGACTATATTTGTGGGAGGAATTCTATAATATGGAAAAAAAAAAGAATAGCCATGATGAAAACTTTGAGGGAAAAAAAGGTGGAAATATAAAGAAGTACTCATAATGGCTATTAAGACAGAATAAATCTGTTCTGAAACAACATGGTAGAGCTTGGACAGAGTAATGGAAGATAAATAAAAATGCAAAAAGAAAGCCCAGAAAGAGGCCCAAGTGTATGCAGAGGTTCAGAATGTGATAAAGGTCATCGAAAGCCACTGGAAAGGAGGACTCTTCAGTAAATGGAGTTGACACAGCAGGGGACGATCCAACTCTGAGTGACAGCAGTGGCTGGAGTATTTCCCCCAGGGCTTAGAGGGCTAAATGTCAGACCTTAAGCCATTGGTGTACTAGAGGACAGCATGGAGCATTTCCTTAGAAACCTGGAGTTGGGATGGCCTTTCTAATAGACACAAATCCATGACAGTGTTTAGTAGATTTGAGCATGTGTGTATGAGTCTGTTTTTCACAAAGAAAAAAATCAGAAAATAAACAGAGAGAGAGAGAGAGAGAGAGAGAGAGAGAGAGAGAGAGAGAAACTGGGAAAAATAATGCAAATTATAATCTCTATTTAAAATATTTTAACCATCACATGTAGTGCTTCCAACGAGCCCAGCATTACAGCCAAGCACTTTATAAAAATTAGGTCAGCTAATCGTATGCCAACCCTGTGACATGCCACTCTCATTAACACCAGCTCAAGCTGGAAAGGGAAGCAGGAAGAGGTTAAGTAACACACCATGAACATGCTGGAACAAGCCTAAGAGGTAAAAAGGTGTGCCACTCAAAATGACAGCAGGTCATTCAAAACCCAAGCCCTAGGCACAGATCTGCAGGGAATGAATTCTGTCAAGGGACACACGAGGCATGAATCAGACAGGAGAACATCATTTATTGAATCGAGGCTCAGCGTGGTGAAGATACAAATTCTCTTTGCGTTCATCTTTACATATAGTTGAATAAAGAAATTAACAGGACATTGAAGAATGTCACTCAGTATTTATAAACATTTTATAGTATTACTTACATGAGATGTTAACTGGGGGGATTTGTTTTGAAGGAAACTCTTCAGATTTCTCTATCAACTCAGCTACTGTCCCAGTAGCCACCAGAGGCCCAGGCAGAAGAGCACAGCAGGACCTGGTGGGGTCAGGTACCACCTGAACCTGTAGCAACCAGAGAGAACTCCAGAGAAGGATGGTGATGGTCCAAGCCCGGCAGAGGGCTGCGTGGGACGTGCAGTCAGGATAAACAGAGCATGTGCTCAGAGATGGCAAGGCACGGGGAAATACTTCAAGGCAGAATAAAGAGGACTGCACAGGCTTTTGACAATAAGCCTTGGCTACAGGACAGAAAGGTGGCGTCAGTCTAGAATGAAACACGCAGCTGGGCGGATGTTCTCGTAGGAGTTTTCTAGGTAAGGTGGCCGTGGCTGTGTGCAAGGCTGTGGTCCAGCAGTCTTCAACAATTAGTTCTTGTCATCGGACACACGTGCCTGAGACCCCCTCCTTCCAACTTCTGGGTTTTATCTATTTGTTTGATTAGGGCTTGGCACAAGGGACTCCATTTTGATTCTGACTCCTTACACCCACATAGAACTCAGTGTCTCCTGACAGCCCGTCAGGGGACCTGCCAGGGTGCAGAGAGATGGCCTTGAGCTCTCTGACACTGCACCTGAGCCAGGCGCACCCAGGCCTGGGAGCCACCTGGACGTGGCCTGAGCAGAATGGGCACTGAGGGCACAGGAAGAGAAGGCTTTACCCCAGACGGTCCCTCCTGGGCTCCTGGAGGGGTGTCTGAGAGACGCCAGTTACATTTTAACACTCATTGCCATCCTCCTGCTCCTTATGGTGAGGGAAAGAGAGATTAATATAGCCACTCCTGAAATAAGAAATACTGAACTCAAGAAGTTAGCTGGCCAGTGGGTGTGTCCACAGGTGGCCTAGCTGTCTGCTGTCCCTGCAGGGCAGTCCCAGGACCACCTTCTATCTTCCAAGGTAGATGGTATTAGATGGTGAGGAGCTGAGAACAATTGGGTTGGAGACAAAGTGTCCCCCAGTCTCAAGGAGGTCCAGGTGCAGGTGAGGGAGAGGAAGCCCAGGAAGCTGCCCAGCTTTGCTCATTGTCTCTTGCTCTTATCCCCACTTTCAGAGGTCACATAGAAGGTCACATGCAGGGCCTCCCATTAGCTCTGGCACAGCCAGCGCCTGTGACACACGAGTCACTATGGTAGAGGGTGAAACCACTGACCCTCCTTTTGGGCCTGCATGGGTGTCCCGTGGGTGACCTGATGCCAGAGGGCCACCACCCGCCGAGCACACTGACATTGCCATGTTCTGCACACATGTCCCATGAAGGGTCCCAACACTGTTATGCATGGGCAGCCCATTGCTTGCCCTGGTCGTTTATCCTATAAGTCTCCCCAAACCCTGTCCCTGGGAGGTGGACCTGATGCATGGGGCTCCCACCTCCCCAAGCTGGATGTCTCGTGAATAAACTCTTCTTCTTTTGTAAAACTCTTGGTTAGGATGGTTGCCACCTGGCACGGTGGGCAGCACAGGCTCCACTCAGTAGCAGGCCATCTCCAGTCTGGGACAACAGTGGCTGTGGAAGCCAGACTGTACCTCCAGGGGCCGGTGAGGTCCAGTGGTGTGGCAGGACCAGCCGCAGTGCGTGAGGAAGCCCGCAGTGGTCTCCGCCTTGCGCCTGCATGATCCGGGGTTTTTGGGCCACAGGGACCAGGTGATGGTTTTAGGTTCCAGGACTTTCGCAGTTGCTGAGGGGCCCCACAGGAAGGGAGGAAGTGAAGCCAAAGGTGTGCATGTGGGGAGCCCTGGGGTGCAGGACCCTCCGGTGGCCAGCTCCCTCTCTTGATATGCAAACATCCCTGTGACAGGCTTTCAAGGCAAACAGGGGTCTGTAAAAAGAGTCATTTCTTCTTATACTTCGAAGCTTTCTAAACTCTGTAGGATGTAGTGACGTCACTGAATTGCTAGGCCAATTAACTCCTGTCTAAACTATAACCTGACGGGCTTAGTTCTTAGAACTATGGCTCTTAGGGAGGTGAACTCAAGTCAGCTGGAGCTGCTGCCTGTGGTGCAGGACATGATGACCTGCTGAGAACACTCACAGGTGTTTCACTGTCTTTATTCTAACACCTGTGAACTATTTACCATGAATTCCCTGTGCAGGTCTTTGGTTACGAAGGCCAAGAATTCTAACCCACCAATGTCGTAATGGTTAAGAAATGATATCATAGTTCCTATAAAAGCCCCAGGTAACCTCAGCTCAGGGCCCAGAACTTCCTAGCACTGGCTCATGTGGGTCCACCAGTGTAACAAACCTGAATTCTCCAACCCTCCAATTGGTGCTTGGTCTCTTATTAAGTGTAATTTCTTTTTTCTTTCTTTCTTTTTAAAATAAATGACAGCAGAATGCATTATAATTCATATTATACATATAGAGCACAATTTTTCATATCTCTGTGTATAAAGTACATTCACACCAATTCGTGTCTTCATACATGTACTTTGGATCATGATGACCATCACATTCCACCATCATTGCTAACTGCATGCCCCCTCCCTTCCCCTCTCACCCCTCTGCCCTATCTAGAGTTCATCTATTCCTCCCATGCTCCCCCTCCCTATCCCACTATAAGTCAATCTCTTTGTATCAGAGGAAACATTCAGCATTTGTTTTTTGGGGATTGGCTAACTTAGCATTATCTTCTCCAACTCCATCCATTTACCTGCAAATGCCATGATTCTATTCTCTTTTATTGCTGAGTAATATTCCATTGTGTGTGTGTATATATATATATATATATATATATATATATATATATATACCACATTTGTTTTATCCAGTTATCCACTGAAGGGCATCTAGGTTGGTTCCACAGTTTAGCTATTGTGAACTATGCTGCTATAAACATTGATGTGGCTGTGTCCCTGTAGTATGCTGTTTTTAAGTCCTTTGGGTATAGACCAAGAAGAGGGATAGCTGGGTCAAATGGTGGTTCCATTCCAAGTTTTCCAGGAATCTTTATACTGCTACCAAGCGTGATTTCTATAACACAGCAACAATCATAAAAAGGCCCATTGCTATGGAGGCCATGGCCTGTGCCCTGGAGAGGCCCAGGAGGCCATCCTTCCAACAGGCCTTCCAACAGCTCCCCTGCTTGCTGCCCACTCCCAGCCCTCCACTCAGCCAGGAAGAACCCTGTGACACGAGAATGTGTGAGCCCAGGCCACAGGGTCACTGGCTAAACCTCTGCATGAGAGGGGTCCTTTGATCGGCTTACAGCTCAGCCTTCCCCTGTCTGTCTGCCTCCAGGGGTCTCCAGCAGGATCCCTTCTAAAGCGAGGAATCCTGCCCTCAAATCCCGTGCCCAGAAGCACACCTGTGCCTAGTGTGCAGTGTTCACCGAGAGCATGTGCTCGTGTGTGTGCTAGTGTGAGTGTGTTTATGTGTAAGCGTGTGTTACTATGTGTGTTACTACAAGTGTGGTTAGTGTACCTGTCAGTGTGTGTTTTTGCATGTTATTTTACGTGTCTGCACATGTGTATAATGGTGCATGTTTATGTGTGTTAGCGTGTGTTCATGCGGATGTGTTAACAGGTGTAGGTTTTAGTCATCTGAGTGCAAAGTAGAAGATTCACATATTGTCTGGGGCAAGGATTTATGCACCTTATGGTCATAAACTTTGTACCCACCAGTACAGGTCACCTACTGCCACGTACCAAGATACTCATGACTTGGCTCAGAGGCAGTTTAAGACAGCCCCTGTTCTCTCTGACTTTGTGGGTTGGGACTCAGCAGGTGGCCCTGCTGCAGGGTCTGTCATGGAGCTGCATCATCTGAGAGCTCCCCAGGGCCAAGGAACTGCTCCCAGGGGCTCCTTCCTGCAAGGTATGGCAGGAGGCTGTGGCTCCTGACCTGTGACCTCTCCAGAGCTCAGGCATGTCCCTCTGACAGGGCACGCATGTCCCCCAGGGTGAGCCATCCAAGAGGAAGCAAGAGGAAGCCGCCTCCCCTGGAGCTGGGCTCACACTGTCCCCTCCACTGTATATGCATTGGAAACTGGTCCTGTGTCTGGCCCTTGCTCAGGCCTCCACTGTAGGAGAAGGAGTGCTGAAGAAACTGTGCCCAGGGTTCAAAACCAGCACAACACCCACCAGGAAACACACCGAGCACGGAAGGAGGACGTGGGCCATCCCTGGTCCCCTGTGACACTGCAGTTTGGTTTCCTGCAGGCACTGGAGAGCATGTGTGCCTGCCACCTGCATGTCCTGTTGCTGACTCAGTGGCTTTTGAGGGCTCTCTTCAGGGTCTGTGAAGGCTTGCTCGACCCTGGGCTCCTCTGTGGCACCGTGTCCTGGAGACAAGCAGGGGTATGCTTGGACAGCTGCTTCCTCTGCGATGGGCACTAACTCCGAGTCTCTGTCCTCTGGGCCTCCAAAACCCAGGGTACCACACTGGGAATGGCCCTGGCATCATCCACAAGGCACTAGTGTGGAAGCCATCTCCACTGAGGTTCTGGATCTTCCTGGCGCTGGGAGGGTGGCCATGGGAAGCGAGCACCAAGACATGGGCTTGTAGGGGAGAGCGCACCATCATTGCACCTTGGCGACAGGAAGACTGCAGTGGGGTGACTTCTGAGGTCCTGCAGTGCTTGTGGGTCCCTGCTCCTCCTATCCCCAGCCGGCATGGGGCCTTTTAGGCCTCTCCTTGGCCTACAGCCCTCCAGGACTCCCCTTGCCCCCTTCCCATCTGGTTTCTGCCCCAACACTGGGTCCTCAGGGCCGCCCTCCCTGACACCTATTCCCTGCCTGCCCTTCCCAGCCTCCTGCCCTCCTCTGTGTTTCTCTGCATTGAGAGCTACAGCTCTGTCCCCTTGCTGGGACAGAAAGCCCTGGGGGTGTTGCCAGATGTCAGTGTGGCCAGGACCTGGGCCCCAGTGACTGTTGGCAGCACAGACAGAACAGTGCTGGTGGCGCCTCCCCTGCAGCCAGCATCAGGGAGCGGCGGCCACTCACAGGAGCCCGGGAAAGTGTGCGAATGAGTGTGGGTTTAATACGGGTTAGAGCAAGGCTGTTTACCCCCAGGGCGTTAGCAAGGTCTGGGGACAGTTTTGGTCCTCAGGACCTGGGTGGAGAGTGGGGTCTCCTCCTGGGATCCAGCCGGAAGAGGCCACAGAGGTCTGAGTCGCTCTGCATCTCACATGACTAGCACAGCCCACAGCAGCGTCATCTTCCGCGGTGTCATCAGGGCCAAGGCAGAGAGTGCTGGATGGGGACAGTTCCCCAGCAAACATGAGCCTGAGGGTCACTTGGAGGAGGCAAAGGGAGGATGATCCAATAAAAAGGTAAGTTCAGCCTAAAGCCATCCACGGTGACACTGCTTAGGAAGGTTGCTTGTAGCTTGACCCAGTTGTCTTTCCTCAGCTGTGGACTCTAGGGACCGGTTACCGTTGTCTGTCTCGTTGACTCCAGTGCTGAAGTCCCCTCAGGGGTGGGTTGTGCTGGTCCACCCAGCACTGCAGTATGATCTTCTGGGAGAGACTTAAGACAGTTACAGGGGACATCATCTGAGTGCACCTGTGTGTGAATTGCACCGGCTACAGAAAACACGCCCCAGAGCACCAGCCCTTTCCATGTGGTCCACACCTCTCTGTTCCCTTCAAATTCTAAGAAATTTTATCAGATTTCTCTGATTTGAATGAGTTAGACCTCTTCTAAGAATAAACTTTAGATAAAAAAATAATTAATATGAGGAATGAATGTGTAGAGCTATTACCAATGTCAGACACTTGAGGACCCTACTGTTAGGGATACGAGGTGGGGAGCCACCACTGCTGTCCTGTTGGGGGCACTGTTCTGGGCTCTCATGGGGACGCTGAGATGAATCAGATGTCACCTACAGCCTCGAGGGCACCTCTGGGCTTTCTGGGGAGGAGTACACAAATCCTCTAGTCAATGCAGAATCTCTGGAGCATCCACAGACCAAATTTGGAGGGACAGGAGGGGTGGTCCCTGGCTACAGGAACCAGAGATTGTTCCAGAAGAAAGAAATGCCAGCAAGAGATTTTGCAAGATAGGGAGAAAATCCACAGAAAGCAGTGCAGAGAAAGTGGGGTGTCCTTCCAGGAGAAGGAGACAGGCCAGCAAAACCTTAGGGGTTCTGCCCTGGGCCGCCATTGTTCCTACACTGCATGTATCCCCTTGGCCGTGCTAGTGGGTAACCAGGTGATTCAGGTGTTCTTTCTGTGAGTTTCTATGGCCTCAGATCAAGGCAACCCTCAGACAGTACATCCAGAGGCAGCAGACCATCAACTGCATGTTGGTCCTCTGCAGCATACTCGTTGTCACCACGGAGGTGTGGAGCATGGTGCAGGGGGTGAACCCTGATGGAGACAGTTCCCTAGAACAGAAGAAAGACCCAGGCTTCCAGGGGATGGTAGGGGAGGAAGGATGCCCCATCTCCGTAGAAGCTCCTGGAATATAGCACTCTCAGGAATGCTCTGCACCCTGCCATGAATCCAAGTGCTGTCCCATGTTTTCAATAGGGATGTCCTGACACCATCTGTCTAGTATTTGTATATTAACTTTGCTATAGAAATTTAGTACTCCTCCTTTTTAACTGTCAGTTTTTTGGTCTTCTCGTTTGCAACAAAGTTAGAGAGGCTAAAGTTCTCAACAAATATTAACCATAATTATTATATATATAGTTCATCAATAATGTCACAGAGTATATATAATTAGATCTAGTATA